GTACATTTGACACTCTACGCTCTCGGTTCGCTGACTCACTCATTCACCTCATTGATTTGTGGTATGAATTATCTGCTAATAAAACTGTAGTCGCTGCTTCTCTTTTTGCCTTCTGATTTCAAACACCGTTGAGGATTATATGGTAACGGTTACGAGGGTGATTGGTCAACGAATCACAGCCATCACAACATAATCGAGACAAATATTGTTTATGACATTAAGTTACAACATAATATTGTCACTTATTCATTTAATTAATTATAGCAAACAACGCAGAAAAGTAAAAATTAGCCAAACACTATTCATATCTATGATTCATTCTTTTCCTATTTCTTAGCAGAACAAATCATGGAAATATTTAATGATTTAAATCAAACACTCAATAATTCTTGTTTCTATATATTTTGATAAACATTAATTCAAAAGTTGTTATTTGAACAGACAAAAACAAGATTAATCTGTTTATTTAATAATCACTAGATAAATAAATTTATGTCTAAAATAATAAAATCTTATTGGACAACATTTAATGATGCTTTTGTTTGTGTAATGATTTTGCTACTTAATATAAATAAGTAGCACACTCTATATTCATCCATATAAAGTTAGATATACATGTTACAATTCCCCCTCCCTCATACAAAAGGGATTGATTCTATGAATTCAACTACATATTATTGATTAATGTTATTGAAACCTTATTTATTGAATCTGACATTTTATTTTATAGTTTTAGTAAAAGGCATCCATGTAACAAATCTACAATACAGTTTATGTGGAAATGTCATGTATAGAAATCTCAGTTTTAAAAAAAAGGAAATACAGGATAACAATTTACTTTTGTAACAATAGAGGATTCTTCTAAAAATCTAGAATGATTTTATTTTGAAAGGAAAAAAAGGTAATAAATAAATGATGAATACAAGTAGATTATTGAAGGTAAATGATTAAGTCAATAAATAATTGTTTTATACTTTCATTAATCTGATAATTTGTTTAAATTATTCCAAGTTATCAATTGCTTGAATTAAAAGTATTCATAGTGAAATTCAACAAGAAGAACAGACTAGAGAAAATTAGGCTGGTTTTTTACTTGAACGTGGTTGTATAGATCAGATATTCACACTATGTCAGGTTCTAGAACACAGACACACGTTCAAACGACCCGCAATGGTAGTATTTCTCGACCTTAAGGTGGCATTCGACTCTGTTGATCGTAAGGATCTATGCCAATGTTTGTCATTAAAAGAAGTACCAAAGAAATACATTAACCTTATTCAGGCTCTCTACTCGAACACAACTGGTAGAGTGAGAGCTTATGGCGAACTGTCATCAGAATTGATTACATCAAGTGGTGTTCGTCAGGGCTGTCCACTCTCTCCATTCTTGTTCAACTTTGTCATTGACGTACTTTTAGAGATAACACTTTCCTCATCTAAATTTACAGGGCTTGAACTTCTACCGGGAGGTTCACTTGTTGACTTAGAATATGCTGATGACAGTTTTATTTGACCAAAACGCTGGGAAAATGCAGAGTCTTCTGACCACTCTAAGCAACAATGCAAGCATGTTCGGGATGCGATTTTCGCCCTCGAAATGCAAAACGTTGCTTCAAGATTGGGTTACAACGACACCCGAACTAGTGATAGGAAGTGAAGTAGTTGAGCGTGTCGACCGCTTCACTTATCTTGGAAGTCTCATCAGCCCTTGTGGTTTGGTGTGTGACGAAATCTCAGCACGGATACAGACGGCTCGACTAACTTTTACCAACTTGCGTCATTTATGGCGTAGGCGAGATATCCGTCTATCAATCAATGGACGTGTTTACTGCGCAGCAGTTCATTCCGTCCTACTTTATGGCAGTGAAACATGTCCGGTAAGGGTAGAGGATATTCGTAGGTTCCTAGTATTTGATCATAGGCGCCTTCGAAATATTGCTCGTATATCCTGTGACCATCGAGTAAGTAACGCAGTTGTTAGGAAACTGGTACTAGGTAAGGATGGCAAATCAATTGACGACGTAGTGAAACTTCATCAGTTGAGATGGCTGGGACAAGTGTTACGTATACCCAACCACCGACTGCCTCGATGTGTGATGTTTTCTTGTATAGGAGTAGATTGGAAGAAAGCTAGGGCCGGCCAGACCGAAACATGGCACAAGTCCATGAAGTCACTGATAAGTGGACTGAGTCATGTTGGTAGGTGTAGACTACCCGGTTGGGGACCGCGAGATGATAGCAACCGATGGTTAGAGACCTTGAATGACATTGCTCAAAATCGTTTGCAATGGCGCAGGTGCATCCACTCTTTGTGTTCTTCCAAATTCTAATCTTCTGAATTTTTCATGTCCCTTTATTCCTCTTTCCAAATTTATTTCACTGAATTATACTCTTTAAATAACATCTCAAAACCCTAATCTTCCCGATCACTGCTTACACTCTTGCTACCTCTACCACTACGGGATTTGGATCGACAACTGCATCTCTGTGTTAAGGTGGTGTGGTAACTCGAACTGATGTACGCACGGACGAAGTTCTACGTTGTTGCTGACTGACTGACTGACTATCTAAGAGAATAATAGAAACTGAGGACAACTACCTAATTCATAATGAATTTCAATAACATTGTATATGCACCAATTCAAATTAAATGTTTTAATGAAAGTGAATTCAGTATATGTCATAAAAGGACTATAGAACTAACCCTATTCGCTGCTTTACATTTATTTAAAATTGTATTTCAATCTCATGATAAAACTGTATTAAAATTATGGACTTTAGTTTTTTGTAGATTTATTGTACCGGTTACTCATTTAGGTAATTAAATATTTAACATTAGAATTTTAAACAGACTTAGTTGTGATCATGACGAATAGCGTCCTTATGTAGAAATAGTTTTTAAAGATTTTACTGCTATAAAATTAAAGTAACATATTTGGGGAATTTGTCGAAATAAGTTTTTATAACTCTGTAAAACTGATTAGTGATGTTGACGTTTCTCAAGACAAACTGACTTCGCTTAGGAAACTTTAGAAAGCCTTAGGTAGCTATCCCATCCCAATATGAAATTCCTCGTCGGCATTCATCTATGAACCTTATGATGTTGTGCAACCATCATCATTTAATATTAGTGTTATATAACTCATGTCTGATGTAATTAATTAATCTTGTATCATTTTTATCAAAAGAAATTAGTAATGATATATAAAACAATTATTTATAATTATTCCATAGCTAAATATTTTACACAGAAGTGAAAGGTTTTAATTTGTGCTTAAGAAAGGCAAAACCATGTACTAATTTAAGTTTGTTATTGACCTTGTTTCTAATTAGGTCATTCCCTATTTTCATTTTAGGATACATGCAAAAAAACATAAACACAACAGATATACAGATATTGTGTATTTCTTGGATAATTACAACTAATTAATCAAGTGTAACCTTAATCTTTATATATATATATATATATACAATGGTGTACGGTGGCACAACTTCGTCGATTGGTTGAAGTTAGACATTAACACCGTTGGATGCCAGCTCAGTGGTCTAGTGGTTAAGTGCTCGCGCGCGAAGCCAGTAGGTCCTGGGTTCGATCCCCGCGTGGTGCGGGATCACGGATGCGCACTGCTGAGGAGTCCCATACTAGGACGAAACGGCCGTCCAGTGCTTCCAGGTTTTCAATGGTGGTCTAGCTTCAACTGACTCATAATTTCAATCTGTGAAAATGAGTTAAGTTAAGAGGGGATAGACCAATATTTAGAATGTTAATTTTAAAACCATATTTTGTTGATTTCTAGCTAATCTGATTATGGGTACCAATACCAATATTAGACTTGATAGTTTAAAATAGATTAAGCATTGGGTAGAGACTTAATGATAAATGTATTTTTTGTTATGTCCTAAAAAGTAGAAAAAATTTATTTCTGGTGTTTCGTGATTTAATGTAAGCCAATTCTTCAGAGTAAATAAATGACCGACATTAAATTAGTACAAAGTAAACAATGCAAAATATTTTTTAGAACAATCAAAGTCATAATAGGTCTGAATATGTCATTGTCAAGTTGAATTTTTATGACCTGTTACTTTATTAATTTATGTGTTAGAATGTGGGTATGAAAAATGTACGCATTTGTGATGTGGAGTAGAGGGTTGAAATATTTTGTACTATTTCCTTCATACTAACTAAAAGTGTGTTAGTTTAATTTCAGTTATTTATTTACTCTGAGGAAGCGGCTTACATTAAGTCATGAAACGTCAGCAATATAACTTTTCTATTCATTGAGATATAACAAAAGTATATTTATTATTAATATGATTATATTTTCAGTAGTATAGATGCTGTTAAGCTCCTTGTTAGTTATTCAAATTACAGTTCACAATTGTTAATTTTCAAGTCCGATTCCACGTGTGGTCGTTAATGAGCACTGCCGAAAAGTTTCACATGAAGATGCAAACAACTATTCAGAGCTCTCTGCATGTTACGGTTTTTTCCCATGCAAATCAGTACAGAAATATGAAAATTCAGATGTTTAGCAGTAGTTGAATTTTTATTACTACTTTTTTTAATCGTGATCACTTTGGAATTTTGATTATCTCTTGTAATTCTTACACTGAATCGAAGATATTTTCAGTCAGGGAACAAAATCTTATCCAAAACGTTTTTAATGTTCATTGTCAGGTAAGCTCTATGGTGCACATTAAAAAAGGGATGAAAGTGATCAATAAGGCGGCTAATATAAATGGTCACTCTTATTCTTTTCCTAAGTTATATACTTTATACGGAAATCCTTACCTGTGTATATATTTGTGTGCGCTTTTCAATACATACATATTCAATCACTGACATCACCATTATTCACTAATTTTACACTAATTCTACGTGCAAAGATATACACACATACATTCCACAATTTATTTAATATCGTATTTAAATTTTTTTCATCAGACCACATAACATATAAGGCGAACAGACAGTAACAGTAAAGCTTATTCTATATTGATGCCAGACAATTAGCCAACTAAAATCTCTGGGAAAATAAGTCTGCCTGATTCATTTAAAAATCACCAACACACACATAGGTATATCTACATAGGTGTTGTAATGTATGCCTTTATTCAAATACTTTGATGCAGCCTACGCAATATTAATTCCTTTTATAAAGCACAATGCATATGGAAAATATTTCCGTATAGGAAGACGTGATATCCTAGTAACTGCTATATATTTTTTTCTAAAGAATATTTGTAATTATTACAAATAATCGTAGTACTAACGTGAGATCACTTGGTGAAAGAAAACGTTCAAAATATTTGTGTATTCTGATTCTTCATTTAAATAATAGATAAATCTCAATATTAAAAGTAAGTCTGTTTTATAGTTTGAATTTTGTTAAATCCCTTTATATTCACTGGATAAACTCTGTCTTATGTTAAATTTTGAATAAACATTATTTTTGTTTATTTAATCTAAATATAAAGTAGACGTGGTAAATTGAATTCTAATGAGTATGAAACAGTAACACCAATTATATTTGATTATTTCACTTTATTGATAATGAGTTGAAGGTGAACATTTTACGAATTCGATTTCTGCTATATAGTCGAAAATTATTTTGGCCTCTATAGAATCTATGGATATTGGATTCATTTGCATTTTCAGTATACACTGTAGAGTAGGTCAGAACTAGGACGAAACGTTCATACAATACTTCGTGGGTTTTGTGTTCTAGATGATAAATTTAAAGTTTTCCATGATTGATGATACATTTTCTCTTATCAATTTCACCATTACTTACTTTTTGAGATTATACATCGTAAATAGGGAACATGTATTGTCAACAAGAATTACATTTCAGTAGTAAGTATTCAACTAGGAGCTTGTCAGAAACAATATGGTTATTTCTGTCATTACTTCATTGTTGGCTTGAAATAAAAGACTTCGTTGCATATATATATATATATATATATATATATATATATATATATATATATATATATATATATATATATATATATTGTTGTATTAACCTGGTCCGAGAACTACAAAAACCCAGATTTCTAAAATTCAATTACTGTTTTAGAATATAGAAATTCGACTACATACGACTTCAGCTAATTAGAGATATGTTAGTTGATTCAATTTCCCTTGAAATAGATCGTAAATATTGACTCTACAATTAATATCTAGTGGATATGACATTTTTTTAAAATATTTAATTCATGGAGAAGATTTGTAGCTCAGGTGGATGATTTTGGTGGACTTCTATCTGAAGTTTGTGCCGATGATGTCGTTCAGAAGAGCGATGAAAGCTACACGACCAAATCATCCAGCTCAGAGAACAAAACCCCACCAAAATATTCAATTCATCTATATCTAAAGTGTACAAAACCCAAACATCTATCATTGGCAGAAACTGTTTCATTTAGTTTAAAGCTAATGTTATAAGTTATATGAGAACAATCAAACTAATTGTTCATTGCAATGTAAAATAATTTAAAGTCTTACTGATGAATGGTTAATTGTAAACGATATCATGTCAATAGATATTTAGTGCTGAGTACATCTTATAGATCACAATGAAATGGGGCCATAAGATGACATAACCTAAATTTGATATTTTTTATCGATTTTCAACAATCACTTTTCATCAGAAACCTATTGTGTCATTCAGTTTTAAAATATTTCAGTACTGGAATATTTAATCAATAATCATCGAATTTAGATATAGTTTGCATAAACTATAAAGATTTCCTCAACTATCTATTGATAAATTGCTGTCATATTCATTCTTGTTTATTACATAGATGCATATCAATTGCACATGTAATATACATGCCCATACAAAAACGTATATATATATATATATATATATATATATATATATATATATATATAAATACCTATTACGTAAGTGAAGGCAATTAACAGGAAGAGCTAAACATCGGTTTCATGTTGACACTTATCAGCAAGGCATCTCTAAAATCTTTACGAAACTAATGTTCCTCACTTGTTTCAAACATGATTTACATAAGAAACAAATACAATTAGGTACAGTATTGAGTTGCATAGAATAGTGATTTAATCCGAATTTCATAAATACTATAAAACTATCATTAACGTCTAAACAGCAGTACAATGTAGATTACTCATTTATTCAATGACCATATCAATAAGTGTGCTTTACTAAAAATTTTGGATTAACAACTAAAAGATACTTCACATAATATGATATTGATTTATATGGGTCAGAACTTACACTTATATAAGTTAATTGAAAAACTAAAAAAAAAAAGATTTCTGATTAAATTTTCAGAATTAATTTATAACATTCAGATTAAAAATAAGACCTATTCATAAAGGTTTGTCATTTCTGGTTTGGTTCAAGTTTTAGTATCAAAAATGATTCTAAATCATCTTTCTCCTAAGATAATGTAAATGATACTGTAAAATAATTCTTTCATTTGAAACATTATTTGAACTTATGTTAAACGATTTTGATTAAACTTTCTTTTTATTTGATTGAAAAAAAACTGATCTACCGTAATAAAATATCAAATTGAATAATTAATATAAAGCGCCAAATGTTTATTTTTAAAATTAAAGTTTGTTTACATTTTATTAGTTCAAAGCAAATCATATTCACTTAAACACATGCTGGGTCATAAAAAGCGTAAAAGTAGAAATCTCCTTGTTAAAAAATTTCTATATTGTGTCCATCTTCATCTGTGTTCTGTATGTTTGAAATAATACTACTTTTTCCTAAAAAAAACCCTGAAAGTTATGTAACAGAAATCGATAATCGATCAGTATAAAAGTCTGAATGTTCATAGTGAATGTGTAAATGTGCACCGATAAAAAAAACAAAAGAATATAAGCCCCAAAACAAAAGGGTTACATAACTAAATATTAGTGATTTCTATATTTTTTTTCAGTTTTAAAAGTTTTTAAACGGAAATTTCAATCAATGAATACTCGAAATATAAAAGTAAGATGCCAAGAAAACTGCATAGTGATTAGGTTAGGCAAAAGATTTCATTTGTTTATAATATATTTTGTTCAGAATAGGACGAGAATGGAATGCATATATATATATATATATAAAATTGTTTTTATGTAATATACAACTAGAAGTCAAATCATTGAAAAGTTAATTGTTTATGTTAATCTAAGCTTCTAGGTTAAATTGTTTAATTTACCTCAAGCGATCTGGTAAACATGAATACGTAACAGCTGTTAAAATGAATTAGATATTTGTTTATCATATGGAATTAAGAAGTACTTCGTAATAAAACAACTATATCAACAAAATTCTCTCATTAGTTGTGATCGAATAATATTCAGAGGGATTGTCACTAAGTATTAAATTTCTATCAACATTTGAATACTATAGATAGTCAGAAGGAATGTCTATAAGTATAAGGGTGATTAGCATGGATATTGCATGAAAAATCAATATTGTTCTCTAGACTCGATCAGCAAAACTTTTGATCTAAAGCTCAAACCGATCACAAAGTTTGAAATACCCAAGTTGTTGATTGATTTACCTAGCCATAAATACAGTTTATTTCCTTATTCTGTATTTTTGATTCGTTTATACACTGTTTCATTGAATTTAATTGTAAGGTAAGCTCATATATGAACAAGTAAAAAAGTAGAATTCATGTATTCGTAACAATATCAAACGACTGTTTACAACAACAAATTATTTTCTTCAAAAAAACAGATTTGTTTTCTGTATGATCTTTTTAGGTACTACTGCTTTATATCATTTCATTACTATTATGTGATGGATATGTCGCGCAGTTTTGTGTATTAATTGAAGTTAGACATTAACACCGTCGGATGCCGGCTCATTGGCCTAGAGTATAAGCGCTCACGTGCGAGACTGATAGGACCTGAGTTCGAATCTCGTGAAGTGTGATCCTGGATGCGTACTGCCGATGGGTTCCACAATAGGACGAAACGACCGTCCAGTGCCTCTAGGTTTTCCATGGTAGTCTACCGTCAATCGACTCATGATCTCAACTATTGAAATTACCATAATATCCACGAAAGCCCTTCTAATATTAAAAATGTTTATCAAATCTATATTAACTTTACTAAAATTAGGTTTTGCTAGTATTCATTGTTAAAATCTTGACAGAATTTGACTAAAATGCAAAATACATCTGATTAATGTTCTCCTGAACCTAACTAAAGATTAGTTGTAGACATAAGTGTAACTATTTGGTGTATGGACATAAATTAATATTGTGAAAATATTTTAAATTTTATTTTGCTTTTTGGTTTATTTAATAATTGAGATTTGAGTGATGGTTAGATGTATAAACGTCGAGGTTTATTTTTGTACTTTATTCTCAATTGCTTAATAAGTTCCCGATAATTCATCCATTAGGATAATAGTTGACGGATTTCAATAAACGCTACACTGTATCTTGACTTGACCAAACTTTACAAATGTAAATCTTCATGTGCGAAAATCAATTTTTCAAGGATAAGACTCCCTCATGCAACACTTGAAAGATTTTCTGTCGAATTCTTTGTTGTGTTGTAGGCACGACTACCAAACAGTACTACCAGGCTGTTGATGATTCTTGAAATGATACAAATTTGAGAAACGAAATATCACCGACATTTGTATCTTAATACATTAACTATTCTCATTGAAACTTTAAACTATAAGCAATCATAGATGGAGCTTAGTAGTGGAATCTTCGACACACTTTCGTCTTATTTGGGACCGGTGATCTGGGTCTACTTGACTCCGAGAGTTGATACCTACTCCGGGACTTAATATCAAGGCACTCCGCACAGGATACATATATGCCAATAAGAGACTGATCAGTTTCAGTCCCAAACATCAATGGGAAGATCGATACACGCAGTAGAAAATGAAGGCGAAGATTATTAGAACTATGTGATATATTAATGCAACACATTCAAAAACAATATGTTCTCACTTTAAACCTACCCTGATAATATTAGCTTATTATTCATAGTGATGAGATTTCATATTGTTTTCACATTATTTTCTTTATTTTCCTCTTTCTAGTATAGTAGACCCTTTATTTTTATATCGAAATGTTCTGAACAACTATATGTGTGATCAGATTTTTCAAAATGTATTCCGCTAATATATCATCATATAGTTCTAATAATTTTCATTTTATTACACTATCGAAATTTATCAAAGGGATTAATTGCTTAAAATACAAAATGAATATAAATTACAAGTTGTAGTTTTCTTTAACAAAAAGAATCTATACCAATTTAACTAAATGCATACATAAATACATCCGTTAGTTGATGAACTCACTATTGACTAGCTTCGTGAGGGAATTCTCAGAGTTCTAGTGAGAAG